GGGTGGGGGGGAAGATATTTTTGTTATTGTTGCTGCTGCTGCTTCTTCGTGTCTAAGTGTCGCCCGGATTTTTGTTTCCTTCGTTCAGACGCTGCACGTTCCGAGAGGGGGAGAGAAAGGTACACCAACCCGATGCCTTTCTGAACATCAGCCCATCTCTTTCCACTGCTTGTAGAACTCCAGAACATTTTTTATTTCTACACTGGCATTGGTGGCTGCCTGGATGGCAGACTGGAAGCAAACAGAGACAAAACAGGTTATTTTTTTCTTGTCCTGCCAAGAAGTTGGGGGTTCTTTTTGTTCTCCCTTGTCCCTTGACAACTTGGAGATTCTCAGGCAGAGTCTGTCATGGCTAAAAGGCCGTATTCTCCTTCGTGCTAAAATTGCTCCGGCATGAGAAGCCTGTACAGACATGCAAACTACTTCTCCCACCTCCCCAGGACATTTTGCACCACAAAAGCATAACAAATCTAAGGGCCTTCAAGGAAACAGGAATCATGACTTATAAAGCAAATTTGGGAAATCCAGGACAGTTATTACCCAAGGCAGAAAACATTAAAAAAAAAAAATCTCTTGCCAATCAACGAGATTTTAATCTTGCTAGGAAACAGAAAGGCTCAGCTCAGCCAAAGAGCTACTGACCTGCATGGGCGCTGAGAACGTGCTTGGGTCCTCCAGCTGAAAGCCTGTGATGATGGTGACCATTCCTGTGGTGTCATCCTCTCCGTTTCCTTGGGACACCGTCAGTTGTTTGCAGCTGTCCAGTATTTTATAGAGATTCCTGCCAAACAAATGCAAGAAAAGAGAAACAGAGGAAAGTCACGAGGGAAGACCACTTGTTTGTGCAAACAGTTTCATGTATGCTCGGGAGGACACGTAGAAAGCACGACTGTATCTCTGTTGCCTGTTGAGGGCTTTTCTGAGACCCTTCTTAGCACCAAGTGTTTGGTGCTATGCGAGATGCACAGATGGATGCTCTAACATTCTATAAGGAATTTTATAATTACTCGCATAAAGCACCAAATCAAGCAAGCTGCATGACAGGTCTCAGAGCTAACATCTCCCCCCAAAGCCACCTGCCTGCTGGGAATCAGGCTCAGGGATCTCCAGACACCATAATCTTACCAGGCATCTAAATCTTGTCTCTTCAGTTTATGCCTCTCGAAGCTCTTCCCAACATCTTTCTGGCAACGGATGTACCTAAGGAAAGATCAGAGTCACTGAGCTCACACGAAGACCATGACACAAACTGAAGTCAATGCTCTACAGCAGGTCCCCCAGCTGCTGCAGGACCCTTTCACAACGATGGCTTTTATCAACCCAAATAACGCTCAAAGGTCTGCCCAAGGAATCCCCTGTGAAATCCCTTAAGATCATCTCCCCTGTCTCCTCACTACTGCTGCGTGCAGTTCACGATACCACAAGTGTTCCAAAGCCCACCAGCCCTGACGCAGGCCCTGAAGATGGTGTTTCTCTTCACAGAAGCAGAGCTGTTTGTCCTTCTACAGGTAACCTGGGCAGTACAGCTCTTCCAGTACTCCCAGTACATCAGTAAAAGGTACTGCTTGGTTTTATACATTGATAAAAGAGATGGAACCCCCTCCATTCCTCAGAAGCAGTCGCATTTCGTGGCCAAGCAGCAACTACAAGCACATCTGGAGAACCAGCTGCCAAATCTGTTACTTCACCACCTTCCCCCTCGCCAAGTGCATTCCTGAGGCTCGGCTTTCCCTTGGCCCACTCCTTGCTCAGCTCCAAGGGATGCACAGCCTGTTCCCACCACTGACATCTTCTTCCACCCCAAAATACAACCGTTCGAAAAGCAAGAGCAAATCGCATCACTTTCCCACTCTTACCTGTTTCCCTTTTTAAATTCTGCCTCCAGATACCGGATGCTGTCCCGAGCACCTGCGTTCTCCTTTTTCAGGAAGTCTAAGCCATCAATCACTAACGGGGGGGGGAAAAAAAAAAAAAAGGGAAGCAAAAACATCTGGCTTACAGCTATACTTCTGCAAACTAATCCAGATGTGTCAAGAATTCCTCGTCCCACCGAACCGTCTCTGATG